GTGCTACCATCAGTTGAAATTTATCATTTTTTCGCTTAACACTGTTTTTCGAGAAAACAGGTTCCTCCAGTCCACTAATTGTTATCGCTCTTTCTTCCAGTCCACTAATTGTTATCGCTCTTTCTTCCAGTCCACTAATTGTTATTGCTCTTTCCAGCATTGATTTCGTATTAACTTTTTTAATGTCGAACGTTAACATCTTGATAATGTCCTTATTTGGTCTTCGATTTACATGTGTTATCGATTTTAGTTGTTGCTGTTGTTAAAAGTTCTTAAGTGCTGTTGTTTCTGTTATTTAGTACAATTCTTTATTTGTGATTCTACAGCTCTAGTCCAAAAAGTTCAAAGAAAAGTGATCTTCGCTAAGACCAATAGTCTTCAGTCTCTCGTTGACATGTTTAATCGTTGATCTGAGATGGCGTTTTTATACAGTTGACGAATACGTAGTATTGGATGAAAGGTTATTGAATAGACAATAAAAAAAAAATTTCATTGTCCTACTCGTATGCCAGTAACAATAATTCCGTTAGGATATCTAGGAATGTGGCAAAACGCAGGGGAAGGTGGATTCATGACTTTTCCAAGTTTTTCGTTGAACTAAGTTCGACGATTTCGTTTTTCCAGCTGAGAAGTGTACATCTCGAACATTCTGCTTGTCAACTATAATCAATAAGGAACACGCACATACACACAGACACACATACAGACACAGACACACACACACACAGACACAGACACACACATATATATATATATATATATTATATATATATATATATATACTCTAAATAACATTTCTATTACGCGGGTAAAATTCTCAAGGGACGAAACGCTTTCATATAAAAGGTTCATGTTATTTTTTTTTTATTATATATATATATATATATATATATATATATATATATATATATGTGTGTGTGTGTGTGTGTGTGTGTGTGTGTGTGTGTGTGTTTGTATACACACAAGCTTACACACAACCATATATTAACAAGCAACGGAATACAACCAAATACCTGACAGTTATTCTTGCTAAGGTTAACAAAAGATCTAACAGTAATTTACTATGAAGGTGACGTGCTCACACTTTTCTCCCTCCGCCTCCGTTGCATGCCTTCATAGAGACGATTTTTGTCAAGACATCTAATGATGGTACAGAAAGAAATATCTTCATATCTTAATGGTATCAGATGGAAACAGCCGAGATAACGAAGTAAACACATCAAGAAAGAAGTTTAAAAAATTTAACATTTTTTTTCAATAACAGCATCCATATAACCTTCTTAGCTATGTGCACGAAATACGATTATTTTTGTCTTTATGAAATTTACGTACAAATTAAGTAAAACAATTTTAATTAAGTTTCTCAACTTTAATTAGAAATGATGAAGTCTCTCCTTGAGAATTTCCCTTCCATCTATCAAAAACAATCACAATGTATATACGTAAGTACAAATTATCTCTGTGCTTGTATTAGGTTGGTGCAAAAATAATGTTGTTTTTTGACGTTCAACTTCAAAAGATCATAACTCCTTTCATAATAAACTTTATTAATCGAAATAAGAACCATTAGAATCGACACATTTTTGCCAACGAGAAACAAGTTTATTTATCCCATTAGCATAGAAATTATTTATCCCATTACCATAGAAAGAAATGGTGCAAAAATAATGTCGTTTTCTCACATATGTTACTTTTATATATGATTTCTGAATTAATTCATTGATATATATATAGCCATGTTATATATAATTTTTAAGCGCGTTTTTTGCTCTATCGAATCGTGCTATTCGTTACCGTTCTCAATCTCTTCATTCATTTTTTTGCAGGCTTTTCGACAGCATAGACAAAATTCAAATTCGCACGATTTTCTTGTTCCAGTTCAAACTAGGCCGAAAAGCTGCCGAGACAGCTCGTGATATCAATGATGCGTTTGGCCCAGGAACCACTAACGAACGTGTGGCACAATGGTGGTTCAAGAAATTTCGCAATGGTAACAAGAGCCTCGAAGATGAAGACGGTCGCGGCCGGCCGACTGCGGTTGATAACGAACATTTGAAAGCCTTAATTGAAGCCGATCCTCGCAAAACCACACGAGAAGTTGCTGTTGAACTCGAGGTCGACCACTCAACAGTCGTTCGCCATTTAAAGCAAATAGGGAAGTCAAAAAAAGTTGGATAAATGGGTGCCGCATGAATTGAACGATAATCAAAAAATCGTCGTTTTGAAGTGTCTTCTACGCTCCTTCTGCGCAACAAAAACGGCCCATTTCTCTAGCGGATTGTGACGTGTGATGAGAAGTGGATCCTCTACGACAACCGGCGATGTTCGGCACAGTGGTTGGATGCCGGAGAAGCTCCACAACACTTCCCGAATCGAAATTACACCAAAAAGGTTATGGTGACTGTTTGCGGTCTGCGGCCGGTCTCATCCATCACAGCTTCTTGAATCCGGGCGAAACGATTACGGCGGAGAAGTACTGCCGACAAATTGACGAAATGCACCAGAAGCTCTAACGTATGTGCCCGAGATTGGTCAATATGAATGGACCAATTCTCCTCCATGACAACGCTCGCCCGCATGTTGCTCAACTGACCCTGCAGAAGCTGA